TCAAATGGCACCGCAGGATAAACGGTTATGTTTTGCTGCCAAATGGCACCATGAAATGCCGGTTATGGCCAGCGTCGTTACATTCCTTATTGGCATCAAATCCTTGAGATATGAATCAATAGGATATAATCGATAGGGCATAAAGCCCTCTGTTAGCTAAGGAGGGTTTAAATTTGTCCCCTTAGGCAAATATCCACCCCAGGTCTACAAGGTCCCTTTGGATGAAGCAACCCATGGCTGCCGACAAGGATCCTTCTGTCAGGTTGGGTCGACTACCTCCTCTGACTAAGTAGACCAGGGACAACGATGGTCCGGGACGACGGAACCATGTGATCTTGATCGGGTCTATCATCCATTCCCCCACCATCCGCTTTAAGTGCAAGATGGTGAAATTTTAAATTTTAAATGTCAAATCTTTCAACCCTTCAAATTTCCTAACATCTAAACTTTTCAATTCCAAACCTATGTTGTACTATATGCAAGATAACATGTATTTTTTACGTATCTGATTGACGACTAGCCTTAATCGAAAGTTCTCTCTCATGATCGGGAGGGGTAATTAACTATAGGGGCTTGCGCCTATAGGAAACCAGAACTCAGATCATAAAGTCCTCGCAAAATGAGGGCGAAATCTCTGGGTAGTGTCTTATCTACAAACCCATCTGCCTTCCAAAATTTATCCCAGAACTTATTCAGTTAAAACTCCCTCGCCGAATAAAAAGAAAAGCAAACGGAGGCCGGGGCCGAATTTTCGGAGCCCACAACTTCACTGGCACTGAGAACCCATACGGTGTCATTTCAGTGGGAGGCACCGAGAGAGAATAGAGGAGTTCGCCCTGGGGCCAACTTCTAAGTGCCTCATAGAGATAGAGGTGCAGGATAAAAGAGTGAAGGGTTTGTGCTTCCATTGTGATGAAAAGTATGCATCGGGCCATCGGTGCAAGGACGTGACACTCCAGGTCCTTATGGTTTGTGATGAGGAGTAGACCAATTGTGAGGATCTGGTGGCGGAAGCAGAAGTGGGAGGGGAGCACCTACACCTTGATGTGGGAGAATTGTCCCTTAATTTAGTGGTAGGATTTACTCCAAATCACACCATGAAGGTGTGGGGACAGATCAGGGAGCAGCTAGTGATAATCTTGATGGATAGCAGGGCTACTCATAACTTTATCTTAAATCGGGTCGTGGACCAGTTAGGATTGAAGTTGGTGGATACAAGGAGCTTTGGTGTCATGATGGGGATAGGGAAGGTGGAAAAGAGTAGGGAAATTTGCAGGAGGTTGGTGCTGATACTCCAGGATATACACATAGCGGATGATTTTCTTCTCTTGGAACTAGGGAACACAAAGGTAATTTTGGGCATGAAGTGATTGTAGACTTTTGGAGAGACCAAGGTGAATTGGAATTCATTGGAGGGAGGAAGGTGAGTATCAGGGGAGATCCTAGTCTATCAAAAACTAGGGTTTCTCTTAAGAATATGGTGAGAGAAATCCAGGGAGTAGGGATGGGATTTTTGGTGGAACTCTAGAGCCTCGAGGGAGGGAAAGGCATGGAGAAAGAGGAGGTTCCAGAGATAGTTTAGACACTTATGCAACAATTCAGTAAGGTGTTCCAACTACCTTAAGGGAGCCCAAGGGAGCATTTATATGCCAATAACTTGAAAGAAGGGCTATCCACTATCAGTTTTTGACCCTACTGATACCCACATGTTCAAAAGGATGAAATTTGAGAGGCTAATCAAGGAGATGTTGGAGGCCCAGATCATTTGTCCCAGTGCTTGTCCTTTCTTTAGCCTGATGTTGCTGGTGAAGAAAGATAGTAGTTGGAGATTTTATGTAGATTACTGAGCTCTGAATAAGAAAACAATGTTGCATAAGTTTCTTATACCTATCATTGATTGATATGAAATCGGATTATCATCAGATCAGAATGTGGCCTGTTAACATGCACAAGATTGCTTTCAGGACTCATGAAGGTCACTATGGGCTTACCAATGCCCCAACTACCTTCCAATCGCTTATGAATAAAATATCTAGCCCTAACTCCATAAGGTTGTATTGGTTTTCTTCGATGATATTTTGGTGTATAGTCTATTTGAGGCAGGGCATGTGGAGCACTTGAGGGTCATGTTAGTGATATTGGAGGAGCATAAGTTGTTTGACAATTTGAAGAAATGTTCTTTTGCATTGTAGAGGGTGGAGTATTTGGGACATGTGGTGTCCAAATTATGAGTAGCAACATATCTTTCCAAGCTAAAAGCAATGTTGAAATAGCCCTTACCCAAAACCCTGAAGGAGTTGAGGGGCTTCTTGGGACTTGTAGGGTACTACCGGAAGTTTTTGAAGGGATACAGCTCTATAGCATAACCATTGAAGGAGCAACTAAAGAATGATAGTTTCAAGGGGGGGGGGGGCACCTAGGCGTTCAAGCCATTGAAGAAAGCCATGACGATTGTCACTGTGTTAGCCCTACTAGATTTTATCTAGCCATTTGTAGTGGAGATTGATGCATTAGGCTATGGGTTGGGGGCAATTCTTATGTAGAGTTGGAGACCTATAGCTTATTTTTGCTAGGTGTTGATTGTTAGGGCTAAGCTGAAGTTGGTGTATAAAAAGGAGTTGATGACATTAGTGTTGGAAAGCCATTGTTGACGCGTCCTTACCTATTGGGGAAACACTTCACAGTTAGGACCGACCAGAGGAGTTTGAAGTTCCTGTTAGAACAAAGATAGTGACACAGGAGCATCAGGGTGACTTTCCAAGTTATTGGGTTATGACTTCGAGATTCTATATAAGCCTGGGCTGAAAAATAAAGCTTCAGATGCTCTCTTTAGGTGTAGTGAAGACCCTCAAGTTATGGCTCTATCTGTTTCCATGGTGGTGGATTAGGAGTCCTTGAAGCGTGAGAGTGACCAGGATTAGTTGTTAAGTAAGATCAGAAGAAACTTATTGTAGGACAGGGATAACTCTTTGATAGGTCAGAAGCTACTATACCAGGAATGGTTTGTGCTTTCGCATACATCGCCACAAATCCCTCATTTGTTGCAGGAGTTCCATGGCACAACTATTGGGTGATATTCAGGAGTTTAGAAGACATCATAGATTGGAAGCAGAGCTATATTCGGTGGGCATGCAGAAAGATGTAGAAAAGTTGTTGGCCAGTTGTGATGTGTGTCAAAGACAAATACTTGGCTATGGCTCCTGACGATCTTCTATAGCCTTTAGCATTAATCAAGGTGTGGTAAGATGTGACTATGAACTTCATTGAAGAACTACCTAAATCAGAAGGGCACAATAATTCTAGTGGTGGTGGATAGATTGAGCTAATATGCACATTTCGTTCCCTTTTGGCACCCATACACCGCGATGCCAGTGGCAATTGCATTCATTAGAGAGGTAGTCCGGTTACATGGCATACCCGAGGCCATTGTGTCTGATCGGGGCAAGGTCTTTTTGAGCCACTTCTGGAGGGGGTAATTCAAGATGCAGTAGACTATGATGAAGCATAGTACAATCTACCAAACTCAGATGGATGGCCAGTCAGAGATGGTGAATCGCAGTGTGGAGACTTATCTTTATTAAAAAAATGTTTAATTAAATTACCGAAAAAAGAAACTATGAAGATCGTTAAAAAATATTTCATTGTGATCTGATCGTCAATTCGAGAAATTTGATATATAGCACTATATGTTAATATAGAAGTTATTGGAGGTATCATATATGACAAGAACCTTGGATAATTAATTATGATATTATTTACAAGTTTCAAAGAAAATGCAATATGCTTATTTGTCTAGGTGCAAAGTGTGATTTTTCAATCACTAAATGACATAATCTGTGTCTACCTATTGTATTGTAGCATATATGGTGTTATTAATAATTCCTATAAACATTTATATGTTTTCAAATTACCTTATGAGTTTTGTTCAATATGAATGCAATCATATTATTCATTATACATTTCATTGAATTATTTCTTAGAATTACATATCTTTGTGAGCCTCATAGCTCATCATATTTTTATTCTGGTGGTTGTTACAGGAAGGGGTAAGGGTAAGATGGAAGAAGAATAGACGTAGGTCAATATACAACTTTATGTTCTGTTGTATAGCAATGTAAGTGAGTCTGTAGCAGAGGTCTGTTGGCTGTTTATTATTTTAATATTTTGAGATTCTTAGTTGCTCTATAAATATATTTACATGTTATAAATAATATATTTTGAATGCTTCCGTTTTATAGAAGAATATGATGAATCGAGGCTTGAATATATTTAGAAATGGTTATGAGTTTTAAACGTTGAATAATTTTATGTTTTTCGTTGTTGCACCTTACATTGTTGTGGGGCGTGACAGTTTAGGCCCCTCTTGTGGGGTCCAGGGGAGTTAATATTCACTATGTAAGGAGGAGAAATCATGAAAGAAATATTTAGGAAGGCTTTTAATGTATTTAATTGGGGGTGTAACTAATTAAAGGGGGTTATTGGCTAGGGTTAGGGAGGTAATATTTTGCTGTAGTTTTTTCTGCTTTTGTGAGTTCCCTAGCAATGTCTAGGGTTTATGGGAGAGTTGATCTACCTCTCGAATAGTAGATCCCTTGTATCTTTCATTATTATTTATTATTGAAAAAAAAATACAAAATTCAGTCCCCATCTTGGTGTTTCTGTGTTTTCTTTCTTGTCTCTTTAATGTTTTTGCTTTCAAGATGCAGCAGAAGCCCATGCCCATTGACTAGCATTATTCTTGGGCAGTGTTTCACTCTCATGTGAGTTGTGATTGTATTTTTCTTTTTAGACATTACTAAATTTATTTCCCATTCAAACTTAAGAAATGATCTGCCCAGTTTCTTTATATGCTATTATTTTAATGTTTGGCCTTATTCTTTTTTCTTCTTCTTCTTCTCTTCAACCTTTCCTGTATATTCAATTTTGTTGTTTTCCATTAAATTCATTTTTTTATCTTCTTTGTACGATGGAATCTTAACTAGCGCTAAACTTATTGACAGAGGAAAGCTCTAGAAGACTTTGCGATGTCACGTAGTTTAGCTTTACGGCCTGGAGTTGAAAAGTAAGTTATTTTATTTTCCATCAACTAAATCAAGTATCTTATGACCTATATAAGCAGTCTGGCAGTTCTTTAATAGCTGATGAATTTATTGGGTTATGCATTTCAAGGCATTCTTTACAGATTAAACGTTCAGGCACTGCTGCATTTAAGCACGTGGAATCTATGCTTGTCTTGTGTGGTATTTGTGTCTGTAATTGGTTTCTGCTTTCAATCTTATCATATATATTAATGTATGTCCATGAAAGTTGGTTAAGATCTGGTGTAAGTTCTATAGGAGAATATGGAATAATGGCTTAATTTTTTTCATCTAGTTCCAACTTTAACATGTCTCAAACATTGTGGTAGAATATTGCAACATATTTCCTGCGAGTAAAAAATAGAATTGGAGTTGGGATGGGTCACATCAACATTGTTATAGTGGTGGTGGCGATAGATTGATATTCAACCTTTGTAGAAGAGCAAACAATTTTATGTTGTTCTTGGAGGACCATGATATGGAGCTGTTATCATGATACACAGATAACTATTAGTGGAGGTATGCTCATCGCCTCATTGCCCACCCAATCAACCTAAAAAAAAAAGCATGATGTAATAGGGCATCGAAATGAATGTTAACCATGATCTATCGGCTAACATAAGTATTGTAATAGTTGTTTAATGACATTCCAATGTTCCATGGTTGGTCAGTGTATGAGCTAAGAGTGCTTGTTGACTGCAAAGGTAATGTTTGGTTGTTTAAGAACTAAATTTTGAAGGTTGCTGACCATGTGAGAAACTTAGTGAGATTTACTAGGGTAGTGCATGAGTAAAAATAATCGTGGGCTTGGTGGTAAGTGGTGCAGTTAGTATGAGTAAGCATATGATTGGTTTACTATCTTTGTGGGAGAAGAAACCCAGAGGTGATGGGGTTAACGTTGACATTAAGGAAGCAAGATAAAGGCCTTAGGTCCTTGAGAGGGAGAATCAATGGATCAGAAGTAGGGGTGTCAATTCGGGTCAACGGGTCGGGTTCGAGTCGAACCCGACTTGACCCGACCATAAACGGATTGACCCTAACCTGACTCGGTTTTGCAAACGGGTTAGATTTGTCAAACCGGACCCGTGCGGGCTACCGGGTTGACATGACCTGACCCGCGAACATATGTGGAGCGCCGGAACCAAGCGAAGCGGAGGGACGGAGGCTACGGAGCGGACGCGGGATGCTTGGACGCGGACGAGGGATGCCTGGACCGCTGGACGCGGGACGCCTGGACGGGCTAAAGGGCTAGACGCGGATGCGGACGCCGGACGTGACGCCCTGACGCGAGACACTTGGATGGGACGCGGGAAGCACCGAGCAGCGGACGCGGGACACCTGGACTCGGACACGACTTATGATGCGGTATGCGGACACGACCTGACGCCGTGACGCGGACGCGACCTAACACAGACGAAACCTGACGGGCAGCGCGGATGCGACCTGAGTGATGGGCGGGAAACGAGTCTTAGGGTCGACCTGCGGGTTGTCGGGTCAACCCGAACCCGACCCGCTTTTTCATACGGGTTAGAAATCCGAACCCGGACCCGACCCGTTTCATAAATGGGTTGACCCGGGATTTTTTCGGGTTGGGTTTCGGGTCGTGTCAACTTTTGACCCCTAATCAGAAGAGTAACAAACCATTGCATTGCAACATCATTGTCACCTATAATAATAATCTCATCAACATAAATGAGGACATAAAGCATTTTGCCAATAATGTTGAAGACATAGTGAAGTGTGGGTGTTGGTGAAGCTGGAGATGACAAGAAATTAGCGCAATGGATGATGCCATACATATAATGCTTATTTAAGGCCATAGATGGTCTTATGATGCTTGTACAGGTTAGTATGAGAATCTCAATCAATGAATTCGTGTAGTTGGCCGCCATTTATGTGTCCATAGATAGATTTCCTTGATGGAAGGCATTGTTGAAAACTAGTTGCAGAGACCAATCCCTACTAATAGCATGCTGAGTATCAGGTAGAAAATGATGTATTCGATCACTGAGCTGAACATGTTATGATAATCAACTCCTAGATGTTGGTGAAACCCCTTGACAACTAAGCATATCTTAGAACTATTAGCAAAACCATTAGGAAGACATTTAGTATGAAAAAAATTACTTACAACCATCAATGTCAGAACATGATTCCATGATGACAAGATCCTATATATGATTTCAAACAATAACATCATACTCTTTAGATATGAATCTCTGTTATTTTTGACCTTTGAGGGTTTGGGTATTGGTAGTGGGTTAAAGGTCATTGGTAATGTCACGGGTGGTGGAGAGGTTGAGTTTTTGATGGGATTGTGGAGGTTATTCTTTGTTTAGGTGGTCATGGTATCTGTATTTGTTTGCGGAGGGGGAATCCTTTGAAGTTGGGATTTGGAAGAATGGTTTGGGAGGGAGATTGGGCTAAAGAGGGGTTGAGTTATGCTTGAGTGAGGCATCTAGTTCACTGAAGGAGTAAGTCAGTTGATTGGTGGTTAATAATGTTTCTCTATGCATGCGTGAGTGGTGTTGAGGGTTGCCGAGTGGCCTAATCAATTTCGGAACAACCAAAATAGGTGGTAGCTAGTTCAAGATGGTTTATGGATTTTGATGACTAATGTGATTTTGGAGAGATTTGAAGGGAAGTTAATTTCAATAAACTTGACATGGTGAGAGGTGTAGACATCATCTTTGTTTATTCCTCTATGAGGATTTTGCCTTATGAATATACCATTCACATGACAAGAATTATGTAAGAATTTATTAGACATGATTTGATGTAGGACTAAGCAAAATAAGTCATGCAAATAGAGATTTATGCTAAGATAACATCAAAGACAACAAAATAAACTTAATAAAATATTAAGAATAATAAAAAAATTTGAACTATTAGATTATGTGATAGTAAGAAACTAACAAGTAAAAGCTAAATAATAACAAAAAGGTGAATCAATTTAGACTAGCTGATATGGGTTGGCATAAGTCCAACATTTAATTAAGGGACAAGTCACTAGAGTTTCTATTTGCTCAAATTTAAGTAGAACTTGATGGATTAATCAACACATATGAGATGATGCTACTATAGATGAAATGAGAAGACCAATATTTGGTTAGATGAAGAACAAGGGGAGGGTTTGATACTTAGCTCATGAATGAGAGGAGTGGAGTCCTTGATGAAATGATAGCTAGTTCCTCCTTGGATTGCCCTTGAAACCTGTGCTCTTTGTTGAATCAATATCCTTGTTGCATTAGTAGAAGCTAGGTTTCCTTTGAGAGGTAGAACAGTGGAGAAGGAAAAGAAAGTTTCAGCTAGATGAGTGTTTGGAAGTGGAGAGGTTCACTGTTTTGGGGTTTGGAGGGGAAAGTTAGGTTGGTTGCATGGGGAGGAGGAAGGGAGAGATGATTTGGTTGATTTTAGTAGCTTGGAAAGGGAGAAGTCAGCTTGGGAAGTGAAGAGGTGGGGGTTGGCTACTTGGGGAAGAGAAAGGGCTGATGTGGCTTGCTTGGGAAGGGAATTAGTTTGCTTGTGAAGGAAAAGTCAGCTTGGGAGGTAAAGAGGTAGGGCTGGCTGCTTGGGGAAGAGAATGGGCTGATGTGGTTTGCTTGCAAAGTGGAAAAGTTAAAGAGGTTGTAGATCTCCAAATGTCCTAATTAATTGAGATAAATGCTCAATTAATGTGAATTAATTATAGGATTGGAAGCCCACAGGTCAAGGGTGTTGGGGAGAAGGTGGAGGCGGTTAGAGAGGGAGGGAGATGAGTGCTAGTTGAGGGCTGTAGGTTGCTGTAGCGGTGGGAGGTTGTTAGGGCGGCTAGGGAAGGAGAGGAAAGATGATACCAACCAAGAGCTCACATACTGTTAGGTATTTCTTTGCCTTTCTCTAAAAGGACTTCACACACAAACTCAACTCACCAAGAAAAGAGGAAGCATATAACCATAAATTTATTTAAAAAATATTCATCATCCATACAAGAGAACAATAAGCCATATATATAGGCTCCAAAAACATGAAAGGAACAAAAGACAAGAAGGCCCTTGGCCAAACAACACAAAAACTCTCTCAAGTGAGGGTAAGACTTTAATAAAATAAATAACACCACATAAATCTCCTATAACACTTGAAAAATAAAAATATAAAGACTCAATCAAGGCTGTAGATCTTTGGCCTCTATGGTGATAAACCCTCCAAACTATGATGTTCCCATCGTAATTAGTGTGAAAAACTTAATAAATTGATGTGAGGATCTTCGTTATGTTAGGTACCAAAATACATTAACTAAATTAAAAGTATGAGAGGTAGTAGGTTGAATGATTGAACTAGTTTGGGTAATAGGATCCATGCCATATTGATCAAGATTTTGTTGGCACTGTCATATGAGGTATAATGCGGGAGATTACTTAAATTAACAATGCTTTGCCATCCAGTAAGTGCGAGTGTCAATAGCAGCATAATGGGCTTGAGATTTTCATGGTGCCTAATTGCATGGTGTTGGAGGACATGTATTTGGGTGTAATAGTCATATGTTGGTTGTGAGATGATGAGGCGAAAGATGGGATGCCTCATTGATAGTGTGGACTTGGACCACTAACATAGTAATAGTCAAGATATGGTCAAGATTATGGGCGATCAATACAGGTTGCACAAACCTATTGTTGGAAAACTTGGGGAGAGAATGTGCACCAAGATATGTATGAGTTAAAGATATCTGATAGGACATAAGTGCAGAAATTATCAAAATAATGGTTGAAATTAGGGATTTCAGCAAGAACAATGCAGGAATTTGAAGAAATTCCTTGGCAAATCAGTAGGAAATCTTAATAATAGAAGGAAAGTTGAAGAAAACAAACAAGATACAATGGATCTTCAATTTGAGAAGATCCGGCTCTCCCAATCCTTAGACGATAGCTAGAGCGCAAGCACCTAAGAGAAAACTCAGAAATCAGCAAACAAATCACATCACCATAACCCTAATCTCTTCTCCCTT